TTTGTTGTTGAGAAGTTGAGATTTTTTGTCAGTAATTTGTACACCAATGAATCATCTGAAATAATATGTAATTGCCGTAGATACTTGTTGTTTTATTGTTGTTGTTTCTACAGAAACACGAGGATGTGATTATGAGTGCAAATATAACATACCTACTAGCTTTCCGCCCGCGGCTTCGCCCGCGTGGTCTTTTGTCTGTCACAGAAAAACTTCGTCGCGCGCGCCCCTGTTTCAAAAACAGGGATAAAAACTATCCTATGTCCTTTCCCGGGACTCAAACTATCTCTGCCAAATTTCATCAAAATCGGTTCAGTGGTTTAGGCCGTTTTAGGCGTGAAAGAGACACAGACAGACAGACAGACAGAGTTACTTTCGCGTTTATAATATTAGTATAGATAACAGGTGTCAGTCAATGCTGTCGGTTCAAGGGCGAGCTATAAATAGTAATAACGTTTACTATGTCGTTTCCTTACCAAGATAGGTAGATAAATAAGTACCTAATATGCATTTTACTAATGCCATAAAATACATACTCATCTGTGGCATTCAGGCATTCAGTTTACACAATTATCTTTTAGCTTTACAAAATGACTTGCATAAAAATTACCTGATTGTTTTTAGTGGTAATTAAGTAACATTAAGTAGTTGCCCAAAATGAGTTCCAAGGTCCCCATCAATCTAAGACTATTGTTATTTGTCGCCTTTTTATCTGTACAAATTACCTATTTGACATCTACACATGAGGCACAGTCTACAACTAAATCAGATTTCCCTATACATTTTGTTGCAGAACAACCCTCACTCGGTGGACCGATGATCTAGAGAAGGTCGCGTAAGCACCTGGATGCGGGAGCCCAGTACTAGTCGTTTATGAATATCCTTAGGGGAGGCCTTTGTCCAGCAGTGGACGTCATTTGGCTGAAACGAATACTTATTCGTAAGTAATGAAAATTAAAAATTTGTTTTCAACTCCGAAGCGTAGCCTGAAGTCTCAAAAATGTATGAAACGCATGCGTTACTTTTCAGCAGCATAGTCTATGACATGTTGTATCGCAAAACTTCTACAACCTTTATTAATATCGAAAAGTTCTTTCCTCATTTAATTTCGTTGAACAAATTCAATAAGGTTTTCGACGGACCGAAAGAACGCCTGATCGTTTCAGAGCGGCATATGCTCTAGAAAGCTCCTGATTGCAGTGCATTTTGCAATTGGATTGCATTTTACTTTTATTATGTCCCAGTCGATGCTATTTGTAAATGAGATTCCACCTGCGACAATTTTCAGGATTAATTTTGTATTGTAAAAGTAGTTTTAACAGAATTGCCAACTTAAATGGCAGTGTAAAGGGACAGTAGCTCGTAGAGCTGATGGCCGCTGGAGTAGAAAAGTTCTCGAGTGGCGAGAAGTGTCAGAAGACGTAGTGTGGGCAAGCATCCCACTAGGTGGACCGACGATCTGGTCTGCAGCTCATTTCGGAAATGTTCTTACCTTAAGACAACCCTTAGACTGCACACTTTTCTTCGGCCGATAGTTTGTTCGGGCTGTTAATCAGTATGAACATTTATGGAAGTGCACACATTACACTGATTTGGTATCCGCGCCGACCCAAGTATCGTCAGTTAGCGTGCGCGACACTGGCCGCTAAGAAACACTTTCTTGTTTCATCGATGATTTTCGACTTTTTTACAAGCTTTTTATAAGCTTNATATTATTACAAGCTTTATATTGACTTCACTTGTTAGTATGTGTGGGACAAATCTTGCAACTGAATTTAAGACCAGTTCTCCTCAACCGATTGAGCTGAAAGGACAATGTTCGTTCTCCATACATTGTTCGCCTAAAGAACCAACAATTTTGACATATTACTACCCGAAAGCGAAATAATACGATTCTGTNTAAAATAATATTCCCTACAAAATATAGGTTATCATATCGGCAACCTAAAAAGACCTTAAACCGTCAGCCTACCTTAAAAACATGAAAGAATACAACTGTGGGTCTAACTGTACCTATAATATTTAAAAAAAATATCCTCCAACTCCTAAGCGTTAAGGAGTTGTACCTACCATGACCAGTTCATCGTGATGAGATGATGACTATCTGATGCAAATACTTAAATAAATTTAGAAACTATAGTTATCTATAAAATTAAAAGAATTATCCTCCAACTCCTAAGCATTAAGGAGTTGTACCTTCTATCATCAGCTCATCAATATGAGATGATGATTTCCAGGAGCAAATACTTGAATAACTTAAGAAAAAGTTTGAAATACGATATACGTGCCTATAAAATTTGAGGGTTGCCCTCGATTTCCCTAGGATCATCAGATCCTGACTTGGTGACAATGGGACCACCTCAGAAGTGTACCCTATCGAACAAAAAAATAATTTTGAAAATCGGCCCACAATTGACGGAGTAATAGATGAACATACATAGAAAAAAAAAAACATACATACAGTCGAACATATAACCTCCTCCTTTTTTGAAGTCGGTTAAAAATAAAACCTTATTAGGGTTCCGTAGCCAAAATGGCAAAAACGGAACCCTTATAGTTTCGTCATGTCCGTCTGTCCGTCTGTCCGTCTGTCCGTCTGTCCGTCTGTCCGTCTGTCCGTCTGTCACAGCCGATTTACTCGGAAACTATAAGTACTACAGTGATGAAATTTGATGGGAATATGTGTTGTATGAACCGCTACAAAATTATGACACTAAATAGTAAAAAAAAGAATTGGGGGTGGGGCCCCCCATACATGTAACTGAGGGATGAAAATTTTTTTTCGATGTACATACCCGTGTGGGGTATCAATGGAAAGGTCTTTTAAAATGATATAAAGTTTTCTAAAAAACATTTTTCTTAAAGTGAACGGTTTTTGAGATATCAGCTCTCAAAGTCGTAAAAAGTATGTCCCCCCCCCTCTATTTTTATAACTACGGGGTATAAAATTCTAAAAAAAATAGAGGTGATGCATGCTAATTAACTCTTTCAACGATTTTTGGTTTGATCAAAGTATCTCTTATAGTTTTTGAGATAGGTTGATTTAACTGTTGCTGCTACGGAACCCTTTGTGCGCGAGCCCGACTCGCACTTGGCCGGTTTTTTCCTTATAAGATATTTTGGCGACCAAATGTCCGTCTCCAAAGCCTCATCTGTATTTATAAACATTGTTAAAAATAGGTAAAAGTTTAAGCTTAATATCGTAACAGACGAAAATCAAGCAACTCGTATGTACTTTAGCTTAAGGCTTCTAGCGTTAAGAGTTGCATCTCTAACTAAATTTTAAACATCTTTTTTTTTTTTTTTTGGGATGGACTGTCCCGCTTTTAAACATCTTGAAAAAATCAGAAAGCAGTCGCTGGGTAAGCGAAATGACGTGAGTTTCATTCCCACCTTAAGCAATTCGATTTTTTCAAGTTACTTAAAAAATGGTCTGATGTGCTGTCTACTGACTGACTAAAGATTCCCACCGGACGAACGAATACATTTCTCTACTGTTAGCGGGACTAAATCGAATCTACGCGTTCTATTGGTTCTATCACTATTCAATTGATAACTCGTGCACGCACGTCACTACGATCTGTCACTTGACTTTTGGTATTTTCGCGCGTACATTATGCAAAATGTTTTCTATAAGTTAACGTTTGTTAAAGAGTGGTTTATAAATAAGTGATTTCAGTCTTTATACAACATATCTTCTACTAAACGATTTCAAGTTTCTGTTAGTTCAGTCGGCCGTAACGCATTCGTTATAATTATAAAACCGGGAAACGTAAAATCAACGTAATATTAGTTATGTGCTTTTTTCTCTAATGCCGATAACAAATTGCTCGAGACAAAAACATAGTTTTCTAATTGCATATAATAAAACTGTACTTGAAGTTCCGTTATTACACTAGTAATTTCATACAGAGCCGTTATGTAATTGTGAATTGTTGTTGGTTTTTTCGGTTAGCATTACTGTAATATAGAAATTTAATTTAATTTTAATTGCGTATCCTCTTCAAGGCTAATGATCAGAAATTATGTCTAACTTCGCTACAACAACGATTAATTAATTATTGCTGAAATAATCCTAATAAACTAACTCTACATATTCTAGGGTTAATCAACTTCGTTTTTAATTTTTTTTTAATTAAAAACTTTAGCAATAACCCTTGTGTCAGACTTTATAAGACGTAATACACTGGGATCATTAATAGAAAGTTATTTTCATTTGTGACCCATCTAAGAATTTTACTTAAAGACCTCCAGATGTAGAGTCCAACTCCGTAACCACTAGATACATTATACAATTAAAAAGATTCCTCCAGTTACAGCAATTTGAAGGTGTACTTCAATTAATTAACAGTACTCAGTAAACTAGTGATTCAACTTACATCCAACAACATAGTGACCTAATATCAGACCACGAGTTAATGACTGTATCTCCCAAGTAAAAAACAAACGAAGACAATTAGCAGGAATCAAAGCAAAATACGATAAGATCTTCCAGATTTTACGAGGGTCATCACAAGAGACGCAATTTTACCCAATTGAAAACAAATAATGACCAGAAACGAACAACAACTTCACAATGCCAACAGCAGTAGAGTCCAAAATTGATCAACAATTGAGGACGACTGTAAACAGCTGTAAATTACCCTGTATTTTTAAGGCATGAAGGTCCAAATCTGATTGCAGATGATTGGAACCCTGCCTGCAGCTGTTGGTACTTTAATAGCCGAGGAAATGAAGGCGTCAAAAATACTTTATGAGTTTGACGGTTTTTCAATCGCACAATAAAAGTTATTGGTGGAAGTATAGGTCACCAGACATTCAGAGATATTAATTTATTCACCATCTTGTGAACAAAGACGATGTCCAAAGCATTCAGAATATTTTAACCAATTCAGAATTCTAAAAAACCTAAATTATCATGTGATTTTTTTTAAAACTGTCTTAATTAACTTAAAATATTTTAAGGGATATTAGTCTAAAGTTATAAAATCTATTATACTCACCATTTCTAGAAATTACCCTCCTCAGCATATGCCCGAAGCGCCTAGCACCGAGGCATATCCTTTGCTCGCGAACCACTTCATCCATGCAATCACTATCCGTAGCAGAATCCACCTCACTGTCATCTCCTGACACAAGGGATCCCCTCTTACTCAACCCCTTAAAATCCGCCTCGCCAGAACTCAAAGTCGGCTCGCTAGCACCAAACTTTGAATCCCAGCGGTCACTCTGTTCATCACAAAACAAATCATCTAAATTTGTTTCTAATAAACCTTTGGCACTACATATCACTTTGCTTTTGACGTCTTCGCGCATGACTATTGCGTCGACGCTATTAGAAAGGCACTTTTCGCGGCGCACCGACTTATTGTCTACACCGTGCGTGACGTCGTCTATAGTTTTTGTCCGCTGCTTCACTCTCGGTACGTGAGTATCGGTATCGACCTTCTCCGGTTCAGTGACTTTGGGACCGATTTGGCTTTGCCCCCGGAACATATTGGACAACACTAACATTTTCACTGTTTTCAAAGCACCAACACTTGTCAAACATTCCATCACTGCATTCCCATTCATTTCACTGTGCACTATAGATACGGCATTTTCGTTAATGACGGACAGCGCTTGACCTCAGATATCTATGATGACGTTATTTTTGTCAGTAACATCAAATGAAAAGATAGCCTTTGGAGAAAATCACATAAATCGTGCTAAGTTTGTGAAGTACACGATTTGCATATTAAATAACACTTATTTTCGCCCGTTCGCTAAAGCCACAAAGCGTTCGTTTGATAGAATTCCCGTTGCATTTGATACGTATGCAAATGCATTGTTTACGGGGAACCAGGCATTATTCAGGCGTCTAGAACATTGCAGGATTTGGCCGTTATTTCGTGAGCCACGAAAGAGCCACAAAATAGAAATCCACAGAAAGACAACTCAGTATATTCCGAAAATCCGAACGACTTAATTCGGTTTCGCAATGGAAGCGACACGTTTACAATAGGTTCAGTTTATTTTCTTCTTTTAAACTTATTTAACACATTTTATAAGCATCAAAATCACACTAAACGTTTGTCCATTAAGAAGTAACTATGTTTTAGTTGGCGGTTCGCGTTCCGGATTACAACATTGGGGAGCTAATTCTATTGGACGCAAATGTTATAGTGATAAGAATAACTTTTTTTTAATTTAAAGTCTGCAATATTGTACCTTAATAATAACAATAAGAATTAAATATTTCTTAGCAATCACACTTAATAATAAGATTAGAATGCGGAGCAAAAACTGCAACAGCTGTATGCAATACTCAACGTGGATACGTCACTCACACCTGCACTGTATTTGACATCGCCAACATGTGGTACAAGATTGTTATGCACATTGATGATTCACCCTATTACAACCACGGGCTAAATTGTTACATTACACAGGTATTTTTCTTGTCTTTTGTCTAGCATAGAACCGGTGGTTCTACATTTTACAACAGTATGTATGATCACCAGAAGGTTAAGATGAAATCCCATAAGTGAGTCGTAGGTAAAATAGTAAGACACGGATATTAACGCGACGTTTATTAATGAGTTACATTATGTACTCACGGCTTGAAGTTTCGGCTGCGATGCTGCTGATGTCTGCTTGTGATAATTGAAATGGAACGCGAAAGTTTAAAATCTTATAAGTCGAAGGTGTAAGTAAGTTGTTAACGCCTATACGTAAAGCATCACAAATGGGAAATGATGTTATTATTATTCTGTATAATGGCTTCAATGGTGCGTTTGATGCACACTGGTTTCGCCAATGTTGAGATAGAGACTCTTTATTGGATACGATACGCCACAAAAACTGCAAATACCTACAGAAAACAAAAACTAAGTTGAAGTTACTCCAACAATTTACATTACGGCCCCGCTGCCCGGGTAAATAAAATATCAGCGGAACTGCTCACCACCTCCGAAGTCTTTCTGCTAAATAATAAATAAGGCCGGAGAAGGATAACGATTCACATGTAACGCATTTATGAAGGCCGCGCCAAGCTATGGCGGAGCGGGAACACGAATTGGCGGGAAAAAGAGCACTTTTTATTCAAAAGAAGAACGAATTTGAGCCGCTAAAAGGCGACGTAGGAGGAAAACTGATTGGTTTGATTTCTGCGACCGTAGTCTTTGATCGGGAAGTCAAAATGTTCAGCTTTTATTCACTTTTGGATACTTTTACTTTATTTTGGAGGAATTAAACTTTTCAGGATTTTCGTGTGATTTATTCATAGTCATAGGTCAAGGCCGTTTATAAATGCCCTACAAATCCTAATTAGGTAACACTTAAAATTTGAATATCGTAGCTCAATGTCTGGACGCCAATCCAGGGTACCTATGCTTGCCAAGATGTGATCTTCACTTCAAAACTCTAAGACATCTTCAACTCTACGTCAGATATGACCATTCTTTGCCAATTTAGCTTGCTAATAATTAAGACTATTAATGATTGTACGGAAGATTGTGTAAGTAGTGGCTATCTAAATGTTATGTAGACCCAGGTAATGTTTGCTTCGGGATTTCGTTGATATAAAAAATACTCGAGATTCGAGGTAAAAATAAAAATGTATTATTTATTTACAATATTATTACTAACACAATCGAGTTGTGAAAATGTATGTAGGTAAGTAGGTATGTGGAAAAAATCTCGAGGGTGAGCGAAAGAGAAAACAAAAGAATGTCGATATTCGGCGACGAATAAAAATTAAGCTTTTTTAGTGGCCAGTGTCGTGCAGCCAAGAAATTTTAGAATAAAGAGAACTCAGGTACCTACTCATATTATGTCGATGGTGATGAACTATTTGTCAACCTGTTTAACATTCATTTATTTACTTTGCACTAACAAGTATCAACATTCCGTATTACCATATCAATCAGTGGATTATTTCACAAATGCAAGCGATACGTAACGCAATCGTATTAAAATATTAATAGGAATTTGTCCTAGTGTAGGCATGCAAATTTAACTATTATATTCCCATGCAAATATCCAGCGTGCATCGGCCTGCTGATGACGTCAATTTATAAATACTATTGGCTAAACTAATTAATGGTGAAGGCCGAAATTATGCGCCAACACACTTTTCATATTAACATAAGTTATTAAAGCTGGTCAAATCCTTCATTTGCGTCTGGTAAATAAGAGAAAATCATGCTCCTGCAGATAGGGTTTCCAGGTCCAAAAACACAAAAGCCGGACTCTGTGCTTCATTTGCCCGGACATTTTACCCTAACATGTGCAATTAATGTAGTAGCTCACCAGACACCTGGCAACCCTAGCGGCAATGCGGCCTTTATTTTGGCAACACGCAATCAAAAAGCCTACCTGTCCGGTTTTATCCGGACGCCTGACAACCCTACCTGCAGAGATGACCAAATGACTTGATGATGATGATAAAAGTCAAACGCCAAAGCCCTATAATATAATAGTGACTGAGATTCTTTTTTTATTTATTTTATTTTTATGTGACAGGAGGCAAACGAGCAGACGGATCACCTGATGGTAAGTGATTACCGTCGCCCATAGACTTTCTTGCGCTGCTTCTTCTCAGCACTGACCCATTTATTGTCCCGAAGCAGTGGTAGGGTTAATACTGGGACGTGTAAAAGTTTTTTAAGCCTACTTGCAAGAATAAATGAAAATGAGAATTTAATAAAAATAACACCAGAACAAGCACTCAAATATGAATCAAGTGACCTTTCAAGATAGAACTTTCAGGCACCCGAAATGTGGTCTGGAAAAATAAATCCAGGTTTCCACTGGAATTTCAAGGATACCTGCCACCGATAATAAAAATATAAAGCTCTAGGCACCCGCTAAATATTCAAAGACTTTCTTATCTACTCGAATAATTCCCTTTGTATGGCTGTAGGGTTGTCAATAAGTTTTTAATTTACGCGAGTTACTTTTCAGAAAATCATTAGAAAAGCAACGTAAACTCTAGCTTTATCAACATAAAACCCAATTTTTCATAGTAGATCAAGTTTTATAACTTTCATACGTTTAGCTAGCTTTTTTAAATCCACAGGATAATAAATCACAGGACTTATAAGAGCGAATTTTACAACTACACCAAAAGCCAGAGCCATCTATTTGGACATGAAAATTTAATATTTAATCTGGGTAAAATAGCTCCGTAGCTACGACTAGTAGGCGAGCTCCATATTATACATGTTTTATAGCTTTTTAGAGTAGGTATTATTTTAGTTTACATGACTCGCTTTCTGCATCCTGAAGGAGATAATACCGAAAAAAAGAGTATCAAAAGAGTCTAAAAGCGCTTTAAGCTTATTTGCAGGAAATAAGTGACTTTTATGACTTTTCTTATTACATTTCATTTCAATTATTTAGGTAAAAGTATTATGGAAAATACTGCTAAAACTTCGCTTTATTTCCAATTCCGCGTAACTTATTAGAAAATAGCATAGTGCACAATCGATCAATTAGTTTTCGTCGTGTACGTTCATGCCCAACTTCCTCATGTCTCTTTGGGACTAATTTATTTTAAAAATCTTTTTTAAGAAAGGCAACCCTAACCACAAAGTCTTGATGACAGAATCCCATCTGTCTGGAACAAAGCGCTGATAACATGCCGGCCACGTAGCCGCTATCGGACCTGCGATTGTCCGCCATTTTGTTGAGCAAATGTTTGCTTACATAACTGATGCTCAAGCTCTACTGAGGTTAATAGTAGTCATTCAAGAAAAAGTCGGGATAACAAAAGAAAGGTAGATAACTAAAACAGAGAGATGTATTACAGTCGGCGTCAATAGTTAGTGAAAAAGCTGAGAACAAGCTTATTTCTATTGTAACAAAGACGTGTTGCGAACTTTTTGGCTACTTTGGTTGTCACGTACCTACTATTTGATGCTGACTGTACAAAATCGAAACTCGGTTCAATGAGGGCTATGGTTTAAGCGCTCACCAGTTGGCGCTACTGTAGAGAGGGGTCATTTCAATCGCCAGTGGTGCCAACTGTTAAATAGAAACGATAGCCCTCATTGGAAGCATAGACGGAGGCTCGTGATTGGTAGAATTTGAATATAGTTTTAGTTAATTTGAGTTTTTTTTGTAATACCTACGGTAAATGTATGTGTGTACACAATATTTACTTCTAATCAGAATATAATACATAATTATGATTATCTATTTAAATTATGCTTCGGTGAAGATTTTACGGAAAAGAAGACTGTTTTTTAAGTACTGGAAAGAATCCATAAAATATTTTTAAAGTGCAGTTTTATCCTGAACTCTACAAAAGTTAAAAAGCACCATGCCTAAAATAATGTCGCGTAAAAATTCTGCCGCATGAACTTTAAACTTTAAATAACAAAATTTTTATAACATTTTCAAGCGTAATAGAAAAATAACATGACTCCTAAAAGCTGGGCGCAGTGGCTTTTATATCCCAGCCAAACACTGTAAAAAAGCTAACTGAAAAACTGCCAAAATTCATAGCGACTACGATAATTTTCGACTTAAATTATTCGAGTTTGCAACTCAGTCAATGAAGTTTTAAAATGTCGAATATTATTAAATATCTTAATTTCAT